TTATATCCCCAATAACCGTCAGCCCAATATGATCCCCATACAGAAGTATGATTATTATTGAAGACTGAAAAATATATATATATATTTTAAAAAAGATTAGAAATGAATTATAAATATATAAGTTATAGATATATATTTTTTTAAAAAATATTAGAAATAAATTATAAATATATAAGCTTAAATACATACCATCTTCTTCGTATTTTGACTTGGCTTTGGCACGTTCTTGGCCTTTTATTATTCTTCCAGTTCTTGAATATTCAACATATTGCTCAGATTGAGCCAATAACAATTCTTTTGGTGGAACATTTAAATGATCTTCACCACCATATTTTGCCAAAATCGAATCTTTGCTAGTGTCTTTAAGTTTTTCTTTTTTTTGAAGATATTCACGATGTAATAGTTCACCTTGAGTAGGATTTGCTTGTAAGTGAACATCAGTACCTTTTTCATAAGCTTGCCAAGCAAAGAGTTGAAGATTGGCCATTTTTGGAGCATCACCAGTATAACGTACAAAGTTATCACCAGCGTAAAAAGTATCATCAGCACCAATATCTTTATTTGGATTATCACGCATAGAACGAGTTTTAGGATCATAATAAGCCGAATTTATATCTAAATTTCTCAAGTATTTTGCAGTATCTTCACGAATTCTCAAATTTCTGATAGTAGTTCTTGTTTTTGTATTAACTTTTTGACCAGGCATATCAGATTTTTCAGCATATTTATCATCATCTTCCTCCTCATCACTTGAAAATTCAGCAGCAATTCTATCACCAGTTTTTTTAACAAGTTCAGTAGTACTTTGTTTATCAAGTTCATTAGCTTTCATTTTACGTCTTGCATCTTCAATTTTTTCATATTCTTCATAAATTTTCGAATGTTCCGAAGGGTCATAACCATTCCAACGATCTCTTTTAGCATCATAATCTAAATCAATTTCTTGAATTATTTCATCAGGTTTTATATCTTGACCAGTCCATTTAGCACCAGTTTTCCTTGGACGATCCATGCATTCTTTTGTTTTGTGAGTCATAGCGCCACAATTTTCACAAGCACCTTTTCTGAATTTTGTTGCAGCCGGACCAGCACGAAGACCACGCGCGTACCATTGATTATTATCTTTTTGTTCTTCTTCTTCAGTAGCATGAATCCTCTGATGTTTTAAAGTTGGTCGTCCAGTGTCTAGATACCATGGGGCTTTGGCGATGTATTGAGGGATATGAGGATTAATATCTTTTCCTTCTTCATCTTGTTCTGCAGGAGCAGTACCAGCTTTTCTTGCCGCCTCAAGATCTTTTTGACGGCGATAATCTTCACGACTTAATTTGTTAGTTGATGCTGTAAAAGATAAAGACGACATTTTTTTTCAATGTATAAATTTATAACGATATATAGGTGTATATATATCAATATCGATATCATATGACTATATCACATGATTAAGACCATTACACGGCAAATTTCTGTTGGTCATGAAAAAGCATAAAAAAACATAAAAGGAGGTTTAACTATTTGGCGTCTTTGACTAAAAATTATAACAAAATATGTTTGAATGGAGAATTGTAGGGTTTTTTAAAAAGATTTTTGGTTAAATTTTTGATAATTTTTAATGCTTAAACTACTTTTAATTTTAGGATTTTGAGGGTCAAAAGCTTAGTGAATTCATATCTCAAATTACCATTGGGTTGTTTGCGGTGAGCTTTTACTTTATTTTGGTATTTTTGTATTGCTTGCTTTTAGTGCTACAACTTACAATTTGACATATTAATATTCTAAAACGAAAAAAATAGATAATTGGGTTTGCTTATGGATTTCATTACCAAGATCTATCAGCGACCATGAAAATATATTTAGGCGGAATTATTATTACTGCTTTCGTGAGTTATTCGTTGATTAAATATATAAATATCAATGCTATTATATTTTTATATTAATCTTTAAAATTTTCTTTTCTCTCAAAGCTCACTTTACCACCTTGGCCATTTTATAACCTACACCCAGTTCAATGGCTTCCTGAAATTTCAAATAAAGAAACAGAAAAAGATGTAAAATAAATTTATTCTTAATTTTGATAATATTATTTTTATATAATAAATTATAGAACAACTTTAATACTCACGAGGAATGAAACTTGTTATTTCTCAAAGACAGTTTTAACAATTGGTGCCTGATGTACTAAGTAAAATGTTCGTAAAATCGACGGAGAATTACTTATTTTCATATAACGCTGTAATGCCAAAAGTTTCTGGCAATATGTAAAAATCATATGAAGAAAAATGCCAATAGCTCACCAACTACTAAATCAATATTAATAATTCTAACATTATCACTTTTGTAAGCTGACAATTCCTACTAATAAATTTATTAAATTTGCTATTTTTTATATTTTAACAGTGATTTACCTCTTTTAATCTATTTAATCTAAGCCAACTCTAATTCTGAAGTCTAATTTAAATTTGAGATAAAATTTTTATAAATCTTAGGTAATAATTAGATCTCTAATAAGACTGGTCGGTTCGGTCCCCCGGTTTTAAAATAAACTATTTTCACGAGTATATATGAAATAATAGTTTTGTAATTGTTTAAAAGTTTGGTTTAAAGTCAAAAGCTTATTTTAATATATAGTTTATATTTTAATATATATATAGTTTACATTAATCGGTCTGAATTGTTCAAAGACTGAAAACCGAAGACCGTGTAACCGGTCAAAAAGACCGGTCCTTAACCGGTCTTCCCGGGACCGAACCAACCCTAGTAATAAAGAATATATATGTGAATTTCACCTCCGGTGAACCCTGAAAAAATATAGTTTATTATTCTCAGATAGTTTCCATACAGCATATAATTAATTATATATACATTATATTATTTTAATTAACAATAATAAAAAGAAATAATTTTTTTGTAGCGAAAATTGTTTATTGTTATTATATTACTAATTTGAATGTTCATTTGTGGCATTAGATATGGTAATGTATGTTAATGGAGGAATGGAGATGTATTTTCAGATAAGTTTCCAGAAACATCAGAAGTCTCTGATTTTGTAGAATGAAGAATGGATGAAGTATTTTCAGGTATACCTTCAGAAACATTAGAAGTCTCTGGTTTTGTAGAATAAGGTGGTGGTAAATCATTACGATATGTTGGTGGTGGAGATGTAAGAAATAAATCAGATCTTTCTGCCAAATTTCCAAGTCGATAGTTAGTGTATGTTGTATAAATTGGACCACTCGATGGTTCTGTTGTTTGTATTGACGTTAAATCGACTTGTTGCGTTGATTGAGCAATATCTCTCGTTCTTTGTGATGATTTATTATAAAATTTTAATCGGATAATTGTCTAAAAATGTAATTGAGAGTATAATTATTGGTTAAGCGTTTACAAAAAATCGAATATTTCATTTTATCCTGACATTACCCAGTATATTACGTAAGACAGTACCAGCATTGCCAAAGCAATTATCATGTCAAATAGAATTGAACGTTTACGCTTAGTGATATAAATTATAGGAAAGATCAAACAAAATGCGAATGCGCTGGCTACGTAGGCATGATTAATATAGCTGTGAAATTTAGGATACTTTGATATCGTCATTATGTTTTTTTTTAATGTTTTGATTTGAACGGTTACGAAATTGCACTGTTTATAATTTCTCCTAAAAGAATATGATAGACAATTTCATTACTGTATATAGATTAATATGAAAAAAAATTATATCTGGATATTATTTAGACGAGCACATATTGCGTATAGGGTTATTGGATGGAAAATTTCGTTATCGTTATGCAAGTAAATTTCCGAGAATATCTTCACGTACTTCACGTATGATTTCGGTATCTATGCTAAATAATTAAAAGACTTTCATATGATTGGCTGTTTAAATTACATTATTTATAGAAAGAAGTATATAGAAAGTTTTATTAGGGTATGACTCTACAGTTGAAAATAATCAAAATCCCCTTTTATTTCAGAGAAGTTATTTTTCAGAAGTCGTTATTGTGCTAACTTCTCTAAAGCAGAATTAGACTTTCATTGTTCAACATCCAACTGCATAGAAATTTCGGCCGGAAAAACAAAATGGGATTTTGATTATTTATAATGGAGTTCCTAGTCGATTAGTTGCCAACTATAGTTGCAATTTTCATATCATGTGACTAAATTTACCGATTAACCAATCAAACTAAAGAAATCTACACGGATTAGCCCGACTAGACGGAATATTTCGGAATTGAACTATTTTCTAAATCGATTAGTTGAAAAGTTGATTTTCAACTAAACGATTCGGATCACTACTACAACCCTAATAAAACTTTCTATATATATTTTTTTTATTTATTCTTTGTAGTTTGATTTTTTAAAAAGTTCTTTAAACTGTATAAATAATATAAAATTAAATTGAAATATCTATGCTAATTTCAAGATGTTAGTCTGTAAATAATCAAAGTGCACGTGATCTCATTTATAGAAATGGATTCAATATATGATCTACATATTGCATAAGTTGCATTCTTGATATCTATATAACCCGCTAACCATAACTGCATCAAAAAGGTAACCCTAAACTTCGCTCTGCTTTAACTGGACTTATCAAACACATGATTCAATATAACTAAATATATATCGATATATAGAATTTATCTGCATACTAACTAACCACTTTAATTTGAGTGCTGTATTGATATGCCTGTACTAGGATATATTTCTCGAACTAAAAAGTTTCATAAAAGTAACAACTTATAGTTATGCATGAGTCTTCTGAGCGCGAAACTTATGTGCTAATCAGGGACTCCGGACATTAATAGCAAAAATA